ATTAATTTAAGTAAAATTTTTTCAAAACATTTTCCATGCAACTGTCCTTCGAACCGGATTTGAACCAGTGACCTAGGGATGTTTGCTTACTTATCTACAGTCCCCCGCTCTACCAACTGAGCTATCGAAGGCTGATGACATCCAGCTTCATAATTATTGTTAATTCTATTAATTGAAATTTTGATAATATTATTAAAAATTAGGTATAAATATTATTTTTAAAAATATTACCAACAAATGTTTAACGGAAAGCAATGGTTTTCTGAAGAATGATTTGAGATCCAAAGCGTAAAATTTTGGAGGATGCGGGCGTCGATCCCGCTACCTCGCGCATGCGAGCGCGCGCTCTACCATTTGAGCTAATCCCCCAATTACTGCCTTTCCTTAGATCTCTTTCAGCAATGGTTAAAAGATAGATCACTCTATAAGATATAAAAAATTGAATTTCATAGTCAGATTCGTGTAGCATGGGACCTAATTTATTGATGTAATGCCATAATTTTCTTGAACATGTATCGAAAACTATATGCACAATTGATAATGAACTCCTGTAAAACAAAATACGTTGATTGAAAATATGTTTCATACAGCGGGGTAAGGGGATTGCCGAAATTGACAACGATATGTGCCGTTGCGCTGGTGGTTCAGTGGTAGAATTCTCGCCCGCCACGCGGGAGACCGGGGTTCGATTCCCCGCTAGCGCATGCAATTCCTCCTCGGATGCATTGTCCTCATCAATAACACCCATCATGTGGTTTCTTTTTCGCACTTGCTGTATCGTACCAAAATAAGCAGAAGAAACGGGTAATTTTGAAATAAAACGACACTGTTACGTAAAGCATAGCAAATTCCCATGTGGTCTAGTGGCTAGGATCTGGCGTTTTCACCGCCATGGCCCGGGTTCGATTCCCGGCGTGGGAAACCCTTTTTTATAATTATCAGTCAAGAAGGGTTCACGGCAATACATTTAACACATGAATGAGTATCATTGCAGGACACGAATACTGACAAGGATAGGAAGAATCGCGTTTCATCGAGTTTGTTAAAAAGAAAATTGATATTTTGAACGAATAAAGTTGAGTTGCGTTTTCGAGAAGTTAATGTGTTTTTAATTGATTGCATAGGAAAAATATGGAGGATGCGGGCATCGATCCCGCTACCTCGCGCATGCAAAGCGCGCGCTCTTCCATTTGAGCTAATCCCCCACAGCCGCCGTAACGCATTGAAATCCATCGTTACAATGACACATATGTATTTTGGTTTTTTTACATTTGATTACCCAAACGAACTATTTTCCAAAACCTTAAAATGAAAGCAATATTTTCAATATTTTGCAGACATACCAAGCTAACCGGCAAAATATTTCAAAATATTTCCTGCCGAAACCCGGGATTGAACCAGGGACCTTCAGATCTTCAGTCTGACGCTCTCCCAACTGAGCTATTTCGGCATACAGGTGAAAACGACTATTCATATTGTTCAGGCGTTTTCGATCATCCACCTAGTTCCCTAGCTGCACACAACAACGGAGCCGATACTGGGCAATTTCAAAATGTCAGGTTATGATAAATAAGCATACATATATTTAATAAATTTCTATGCCATTACCAGAATATCCATTTGATATAGGGAAGTAAAATATTTTTCAAAACATTTTCCATGCAACTGTTCTTCGAACCTGATTCGAAGGCGGATAACGGCCAGTTTCAGTATTGAAAGCTAAAGCCTCTTACAGATGAACAAGTTTTCTATAACAAGTTTTTATGCGACTAGTTTTAATTGTTCGTTTGTACGCCCAACCTTTACATTTTTTCTGTTTTTTCCAAAATCAAGTATACTAGATTTTGAACAAGTGTTCTTGTCATAGAAAAAACTGCCAAAGTACAAATTTTTCTCGTCTGTATGAGCACAGTTAATAGAATATACATGGTTTAGAGACTACATGCAAAAAATTGTTTCTAATTCGTCACGTGTCTATTGTATTTTGAGCAAATAAACCAATAGTAAGGTCTGAATTAACATGTTGTTCAAGTCACGGTTGAGGAACTAAGTCAAGCCATTGCTATTGGTTAGTTGGGCAAAAATACAATAGACATGTGACGGATAAGGAACCATTTTTTGCATAAACCTGGGGCCGATTGTTGGAAAGACGTGTAGCTTAAACGGTGGATAAGTTGAAAATGGAAAGCAAAACTATTTATTTATTGAACAACTGAGCTGAAATATTTCGATGTAAATAGCTTAATTGTCAATGGAAGTACATATTAAATGCATAAGATGCAGATTTAGTCATTCACAAGATGCATGAGAGTAATTTTAAAATTTGGCTTATGCACCGTTTAAGCTAACGCCTTTCGAACAACCGGCCCCTGGACAATAACATAGATAATGAGTTTTATTGTACTTCCATCTAGTCTCCAAGCCATGTGTATTCTAATAACTGTGGTATGAGTCAACAAAGAAAACTTGTCACATAATGTGAGCATTTGTATGCGGTAGGCCAGCGGACTATAGCATGCATTTTGCAACGCACGCTCACGTTGTCCGCTGTACAATTACATCGCTGGCTGCAAACTAAATTGTCAAAGCAAACTTGTTGAGTTGTTGGCACGGTCACAGTTCACAAGAGCAAATAAAACTTGTCAAAAAAAAACTTGTCATAGAAATTTTGTTGAAAGGACTGCATGAAAGGACTTGGACAACTCTCCAGAGACTCATTTCGGAAATTGCATACAAATATACCAACCTCTTCGGTCTCGACATAGGGCGTTTTATAAAGAATAAAGCCATTTCGCTAGAAAGCTCAATTAGTTACTTCGCGCCAACTCTTCTAACTACAACTGCATCTATCCTTGCGAAGAACGAAGCTACAGTTACAATCGGGAACCACCAGCAAATACAAAACGTTTTTACAATATTCGTCGGCTATCTGAGCACTTGAAAATCAGCAGCAGTGGACCACGGGACGACAACACCTATCTTGGCAGTAATGAATTAATTACTTTGTATGAAGTCCACACTCTTAGCACTGCTGTTTCTACATATGATTACGTCTTCTTTCACTTCGTATCATCGTATGAAGCAAAAATTTTAATTATGTCCAGGCTCTTATTATCACTCTTTGCTTACAAATGAGACGCCATCATTCACTTCGTATCATCATGTCAAGTAAAAATTATTTTTATGTCCAGGCTCGTATTATATAATAACGTTAAGAAATCAAGCAATTTCATTGTCGAGCCATGATCAATAGAGGACAGACGCACGGAATGATGTCACAGAATGATCGGTCATCGCTTTAGTACTCACAGCCAATCATATTTTAGCACATGTCTCAAGCTAGCCTGTTTAATTTCGGTTTTAGTTCTTATCACAAAACCGTCATACCGTGAATCTATAAATGAACAGGCAACGGTTCAATGTTATCAATTTGTTAACTCTCTTTCCATACATACAAGGGGGAATTTCGTCCAATCAGCAAATTTTGTTACATTTTCAGCAACCCAATCAAAATGCATAAATTTTGACTACTTCTGAAAAAAGGTACATTATTTACCATTTTACATGAAGTATTAAAAGTTTAAGCATTCTGATTGGCTTTGCCGAAAGTAGTCCAAATTAAATTACTTGAAAAAATCTGTAAAGTTTAAGGCATCAAATCAGCATCCTCAATTTCATCATCAATCATCGTTAATTGATGCTCTAAGGGTGTCTGTGTAATCACCACCAAATTCAGGCTTCTCAACCCGTACATTTCCTTGCTTCCCCTCATTATCACTATCATCTATGCTAAAAATGTTACTTGAATTCTCGTCTTTTTCGAGACTTTCCTGGAGCAGGACTTACCAAGGTCTTCTTTGTACTTGCCTATGGTAAATTCGTGAGAGCATCCAGGTATATTGCACGCCAATTTACCATCTGGATAGATAAGTACGTATCCTCGATCACGAGAAAACGTTCTATGATAGATTCATAGTTCTCCCATTTAGTCAACGATCTTTGCAGCACCCATTGCACCCTAAAATTAGCGGGGGTACGTGCATCGCACAGAGATCTGGGGTTATAATGCCGTTTCACCGCCCTATCTTCTATACATCATATCTTATATGGAGGGAGTACAGCTCGATCAGAAATCAATCGCGTGAGCACAATATCGTAATCACATCAAAATTGTAACCACAAAGAGCGTTTCGAAACGTTTCGCGACATTTTTCACAAAAATACAGTAACAAATGTGTTGGAGCAGAATAACTTTCTTCCTCTAGATCAAGCTTCGCCATTCCCTTCTCAACTCGTGGCAAGAATTTGAATCACTACCTTAACACTAAAAGATGGTAAAATGTCTGGATGCCAACATAACTGCAATTTTAAATTTGGAATAAGCAAAATAATCGCACACCACATAATCACACAAGTTTTACTCTCACGAGCCACCTGCAAAGACACAAGACATTGTTCTGCAACACATGCATAATTTATTTTGACCAACAAATGTGGAAATAAGCCATAACACGAGAACGAGGCTGGGGGGCCAAGACCGCGAGCCTCGTTCCAGCGTTATGGCCTATTTCCATACTTATTAGTAGAATGAAAAATTCTTTTTCATGCACGGCTTGTAGAATGTAGAAGGATGTTTTGTATCTTTGCATGTGGCTTATGAGAGTAAAACTTGAAATCCATCTCATTTAAGGTGATTCTAAATTTAAAACGATGTGACGTAATGTTGTGATGTAATGAGCGAAAAGGTCCATTCAATCTGCGAGCAGGCTACGATAAATCTTGCAAATCTTGAGAGCTGAGTTCTCTACTTTATTTATCGTACATCGTCATTACTTTACAGCGAAAACATACAAACGGAAATTGAATGTACATGGTTTACAATCTGTTTAAAAACTGGATTATGGCATTATATAAATAAACAAAGCTTAACCTGTTTATTACTAACTACATTTCATTCACAGCGGTTTTCAAATCTTCACCATTTTCCCCGTTGTTTTTAAAAGTCTCCCGCGATAGACACACTGTCTAAAAAATTAAATTTTCCTTCACTTCGTTGAAAAGATCGACTAGGCCTCTTAGTACAATTTTTTTAAAATAGCCAACCTAAATTTTCAGGCGGTTCTCACTCCTAATACGTTCATTTAGATTTCTTCATATATCATACCTCAAATTCAAACGGTTCGATGAGAAAGCTAGATTTTTGCCACGTGATCATTAAGTTTTTGGCCGAATCGCGCTTACGTCATTCGTATTCGCTGCAGCCCCGGTAGATTATTTTATATTCACTGGTAAATATGATTCTTGCACCAGGTAAGGTAAATGAAAATGTTAGTTTGTTAACAAGAAAATTTTTTGCATATATTCATACACTATAGAGAATAATACAATAGAACAATGAAACAATAGAATAAGCCAATCGACCGCTTTTGTTTGCTCGGGGTAAAACCCTAATTAATAAAACTTGACTTTACACACTAATATCGTCGTGCATTTTCGAGTATAATATAACTTTAATATACCAAAATCTAAGTACACACTCCTCTATCGAATGAAACTTCCAGTGTAATAAATTACTTCACCTTTCAAAATTGATCAACAATCCAAACGGAGTACATTTTTGGGACACCCGGTAGACAGAACAAAAAAACAAAGAACGAGTAGGATAATACTCACCCGTCTGAAACTACGAAAATTATGCAACATAATGATATTGGTTTTGTATTTCTTTGTCTCTTTCCATATAGTCTCTTTCAATAAGGCTTTCTATTCGTTTCTTTAAATCAGCAGGCTAGAAAGTTGAAATTGAAAAACGTCAACAATATCATTTCATCATTTCTGAATCGGCACAAAAGAAATTGCAATTCCTCTCCAAAGGGTTTCTACTACAAAACAAAGGTTTTGTAGTTGTGCATGATGTTACCATGATGTTCAAACATGTCGCAGCTCAAACAATCAAAGTTTCCATCTAAATGCTGAACACAAACCTTTACAGGAAACTTGAGTTGATTATAAACTTCAGATACTAATAAATTATGACTGAGAGTCTTTCTTGTTTTCATAATTCGCACAATAGCTGCATCAATCTGAAGAAAAAAATCCAGGAAAAAATTATAGGCATATCTAAATACATTACTCATAATTTAAAACTTTCTAAAAAACACTAAAATCCTCCCACGGCAGAAACTAGTCTAAATCCAGCTATTATTACTGGGAGTATTTCCTCCAAAAAGTTGTTATGACCATAATCAACAAATGCCCCCACTCATTAAACCTGAGGTTGGTGCGATCAGACCATGACTGAAGGTCGTGCCTCCGTTCTAAATATATATAGTTTAGTTTATATAGTTTTTCAGGAGAATCATTAACTGGATTTACCACACAAACAAAGATGTCCCTACCAAGATAGATACTCAGATACATGTTAGCATGTTAGCAAGAGTAGAATGTCAGCAAAGGTTAGCCAAAGAAGAAAATCTGAAGGGAGGGTATACAAGAATGATCAATGATGCTCAACTAGCAACAGTGCGATCGAAAAAGTCTCAGATCATCAGGCGATAGCTAGAGTGTACTACATGCCTTAAAAAGCGGTCGACCCTGCAACAACAAAGATGATATGGTCATAAGCGAACGGAAAGTGACTTCTCGCTGAGCTTGATATCATGAGAATTAATGCAGGAAAACCATGGAAAAGGTTTGTCGAGGCCTATCCGAAATCATAAAATTTTAGATGTATATTTCTAACCAACTGCACACATCTCTGGGAAAACTCAAAGGTTTTCAAAAGCCTAGGTAAGATCTGACCATTTGGTTGTTATGGTTTCTCTGCATCATGCTATAAAACCTGAAGGAAGATATATGTATCATTTACAGACGTAAGAGCTCGTCAAAAATTCAGTATAGTACGTAAATTGTGTCGGTAAAATAATTGCATATAATATCATTGATGCAGTTACTTTTATCAAATAACACCACGACTATAACATGACTAACAAAAGTGGGACACTTTTTGTTAGAGTTTGGACGTATTAGACGTGTATATAAACACAGGAGTTTAAGTGAAGAGAACTTTGTCTGAAATTAAAATGGAACGATTCAAACGACCCTTTATATGAAATATAGTATTTTGACATTGTAAAGTTGCAGGTCAGCTGCGACTCTAGATTTTAATAATGAATGCTGAACAAAATTCAAAAAGATCTCAAGGAAAAGCGACATCCGAAACTTTTGTAACCGAAAATGAAAATATTGTTGAACGTTGGCAGAGCAAGGTTAAAAGACTAAAAGAATACCTATAATATAGGCTGGTTGTAATATATTGAAAGGACATTTAAAGCAGATACCTGATATTGCCGATCTTGAAAGACACGTTCTGTAGTGCTGACGTTTTCCTCTGGCTATAAAACAAAGAAAATAATTGCATTAAAAAAAGTCAAGGCTACACTGCGCTGCACGATGAACCAATCCCAGCACACAGTACTCATGCATGCATGCAAGCTGAAATACGCATTAAGCTCTTTCAAATCTCCAAACGGAGTCACTACCCGGCTTAGGAAATAGTATATGGACCGAAATTTAGGTATACCAAGAGGATATCAACTCATGCAACTTTTCATAAGACAGACATTTATTTCTGGACTCACCCAGCTCATAACACTCACCGTTTCCTTCATTTGTATCTGATTGATTTTAATGCGAAACAGTTTGTGTTTAAACTCAGCATTAAATGAAAATATATCATTATCTCCAATATCTTTACCCTGTGTGGAAAAAAAACAAGATAAAACTATTCAATACCGTTACTCTGTCCGCGCGTAGAGTTTCAGGTTTTTAAAGGACAACGGCTTTTTGAATCAGTCGGATCAGCTTTAAAATCGAATTTGATTCTAGGTAATGTCAATATAGGCCTTTGTTCTAAAAGTTTATTTTTTGGGTTTAGTATTTGTTATCAGGTCACGCATATAGTACAACGTTTACTAACATTATCAGGGTAATGTTAGCATATGTTAAATTGCCAACATATTAAACTACCAAGGCCAGAATAATTTGCAAGTATTGTCCTGCAATTAGCTATAATTATGGCAAAGCATCCCAGTTTTAGTAGTTAAATATTGTTAAGATGGATTATGGGTAAGACAGAAATAGATTTCTATATTTAGTCACCCCAAAAGGACCAATACACAGCTACTAGGCTAGCCTAACCAATTTAATCTCTAAAATGCCATAAGTGCTATCGTGCGGGACTTACGTAGCCCTCAAGATATTCTCCATTAGTACTATTGGTGTTTATTGGTAAAGTAACTCCGCAATGCCAATGGTATAAAAAGATCATTCGTTCAAATGGTATGGCAAATTAATTTACCATTGGTAAATGAACGTTGTCCAATCGTACCAAGGAATGCTAATTTACCATTGGTGAATAAGGATTGTTCATTGGTTCTGATCGTGAATAGAGCAAGAATGTCGTACGCGGCTAAGGTATAGGCACCAATGGTGTTCATTGGTAAAGTAATTCTCCATTTCTAAGGGAAATTAAGAGTTCATTCGTACGAATGGTATGGCTAATTTACCATTGGTAAATCAAGGTCTATTTGTACCATTGGTGAGATAATTTACCTTAGGTAAATCAACAGATAAAATAGTATTTTACGAACGGAGCAATGATATATGTATATATTCGCAATAAATACACAAGTTGTGATATTGCGTTAACTTTTGCCTGGTATTTTGAAAATGGAACAATGATAAATGTATCTATTCGCAATTAACGGCAAAATTTACAGAGGCTCAAAGGGTTTTAATTTCGAGCGGAATAATACCGATTCAAATTCAAGCCAGGAACAGTTGATCGAAAAATGAGTCCAATATCGGTCCTCCGGAAGGAATCGAACCTACGCTTTTGCGATACCGGTGCAATGCTCTTGCCACTGAGCTACAGAGGTAGCTGACAAAAGCAAGCGTGGTTAATGTGCATAAGGTGGTAATGCCGGGAATAACTGAGGGTAAATCAATTATAATTTTTGGCACTTCACTCGATGTAGGTAAATTCTAGGGGTTCAAAGGGTCTTAATTTCGAGTGGAATTATACACACTTTAAATTCATGGCTTGAAAACCTCACAGTGGAAGTTAAAGTAAAGCTTTTTCCTTACCTTCGGGACTTTCGTGATTACTCTTGCTCTACCACAGGCTAACGATTGCAATGTTCTCCGCAGTTCATTATCCTCTGAAAAACGGAATAGGATTAAAAGTGTTATTAAAATATAAAAAGTGTTAGAAAAAAAAGCATTGACTTACATTCTAAATGCTTACTCTAAGGGGCTATTTATATGGGAGCCGCGGGCTCGCTGACTGGCTTGATCAGCGAGACACCCCGTGAAAGGGGATAAACTTGTCATGTGTTCATATGAGAACATTTCATCCTGCTTGCCGATATAGAGATTATTTCCAACGCCTTCAATTGGCTTTGCGTTATAACAAAAGAAACGCTGAGAAACATTAAAAATTATTAAAATTGGTTCCACATCGGCGACCGGGCCAGCCTTTTTGGAGTGTTTACTGTATATGAAAACATTTTTATTTTCAAACGCACAGAAGTTTTTATTAGGAATTGTATTCATGGCGAGATCTCGAGATGCCTAAAATTAAAGCCAGACGCTCATGCAGTTTGAATGCCTTATTTGCTATTTACCCACCAGTTCAACCAAAGCGAATATTCACTATGCAAATAAGCTGTGGAAGACCTGGGGCGCTTTTTTTAAGCGCCCAAAATGGTCAAACTGGTCATATTTGAATTGAAATAGAGTATTTCGTTAAAAATAAAGCGGTGACCGTGCTAAGCAGAGGTAAATAACGGTATACTTGAATGAAGAGTTCTTGAACACTCAAATACCAAAAATCTGTCTGTCCTGAAATTCAACAAGACCGGTCTGGCCGTTTTTACCGTATAATAGAAGCGCCCCTGGTATCAATCCAAAGGGGACAGGACGCAACTTCTCCCTTCCCTATAGGCAGAACCTCCTGGAATACGCCAACTCACACTGATGGTTATGTATATAAACTTCAGATTTACGTACCTATCCGAGTTTCACTTCGTATATCTTCGAGCGGAAGATTATCCCTATCATTGAACATTAAAAGAACCAGTGCTTGACACAGAGACACTTGGAGATCCTTCACGTTATCCTACAGGATAATTCGCACAGAAAAAACTCGCAATTAGATAGACCCCTCAAAAGTTTTGATAAAGCTGAACGTGAATATATAAATATCAGTCCCCCCCTCGCCAAACAACGAATTTCCTGAGCTAGCAAAATCTAAGCTTATATAAGGAATCAGATGAGTCAGTCGATAACTGATTTGAAAGATGGAACATTCCATCTTTCACCTCATAAAAATATTCTTACCATTACACTCATCAACATTCGTTATTAGTGTAATAGACGACTATGTGCACACGGTAACGATTTCGAGCGTTTTCATTTTCGTTATCATACCATAACGGTTTCAAACATAATTTACAATAAAAGTTGAAGCTAATTAAACATATTGAGCAAATTTTCCTTTTGATCGTGTGCACGACACATCAAATGAATAAAATAGATAAAAACGATTTTGAAAGCGCTCGAAAACGACGCTGGTGTGCACATAGCCATGGTCATAAAAATGGAAACATCACCCATTTTTCAAATGCTTCAAGCAGAAAATTTATTAGTTTATATGCCCCAGTTACAATTTATGGACTCTTACCGCTTAGTAAGGTTAAACTGAATTCAACCTTCAAAACGTAAAAATAGTACAAAATCTTCAGCTGCGAATGCTTATGCTGCGAATATTTGTAGTCGATTTAAAAGCTTTGAATTGATATTTGTTTTATCAAGATTCAAATTTAAACTCTAAACTAACGATGTGATAGCTTTTCGTAGGACATATCGACTATCGTAACAAGATATCAGGCTCATATAGCCTACAAATAAACTGCATCTTTCATACAGCAAATTAACGTTAAATCATTTGCTGACGGTCTCAATTCAATACCAACTTTCCACCCTAGAGAATCAGGACGTTGCTAATTACCAGTCTCAACTTAATTTCACTTAGTATATACGCTCGCTTAAATTTCGCACATGCGCATAATTAACAATTTGGACAACTTTGTATTCTGCTATGTTCTGTCAAAATACACGGGTGTAATAAATTTCCCAGCGCAATTAGTACCCTCGTACGGGGTTCGCGCTGGCTCGGGGATGACGTAGGGTTGTAACAAAAGGTGTGATAGTATCTTGAATTGTAAATACAGGAAAACAAACAGCGAGTAAACATCCATCACAAAAAATTATATATATATATATATATATATATATATATATATAATATATTATATTATATATATATATATATATATATAATATATATATATTATATATATATATATATATATATATATATATATATATATATATGTAATAGTCGACTGTGCAATGATGTAAAACAAATGACAAATTTATGTCGAAAACATTTTGGATAAAATTCCGCATATGATCAAAAAAAGATCACAAAAAATGAAACTGACAAAAAATATGCATACCTCGGCAAATGATGATCTAAGCACACAATGACCCAGTGTATTCTGCCAAAGAAGCTTACGGCCACTGTGTTTGCCAAGGTAAAATTTCTTAAACGTATCTTGATAGAGCACCATCTATTGAGATTAAACAATGAATATTTACAGCGAAAAAATAGATTATTTCATCCTGGTTTCATGATAAGATAAAATCTAGTTTGTAATTACAATGCAACTAATTAGTCTTTTCCAGAGCCCAGGCAACTCTATGAAAAATGTCAGATTAACGGCTAATTTACTAATAGTGTAAAGGCCATGTTACACGGTGCAATTTTTTTACATTGTAGGAACACCAAATACGTATTTAATATTGCGAAGCTTACATTCCGTTAAGCCAGTGCAACTATGCTTGTGAACAAATTTACACGTCACTTGAATATAACGTTCGTCGTGATTTGTTTGCTCGTGATATTAATTAAACAAGAAAGGTAAACTGAACAAGTCTGCCGTAGCTCATCATGCGTGGACTTATGATCATCACATTAAATGCAAAGATGTAATAATTTTAGCGAATGATAAGTATACCGTCTCTCGTAAAATGAGAGTGTCTATCGAAATCTAAAAACATCAAACCATCGCTCAAGAGGAAAAGCCACTCAATAGTACATGACGCTCCTTTCAATGTTCGCTAGGTAAATACTTGAACACAGAATACGTATTATCAGAAATGTGACAAGGAATTATTATCGTGTCCCAAAATGTACAGGTTGAAAAGAAGTTCGAAAGTTTTGAAAATGTGGTAAAAGAAAATCGGTTTAATCGATTTTGAATATTCAGTGGGAAGAATTTTCCGTGAAATCCACAGGAATCGCAAAAGCTTCGTATGCGAGTTCAGCGCGGTATTTAAGCTTGCGCATGCTAAGACAAAATGCCCTGTTACGGATAAAATTTAGCAGGTAATTCTCTATTCAAACATAATATTAAAACCAAGCACCCCTAGGGAAGAATAAATGCTATTTCATACTTGTGCTTCTTTAAGTAAACTGAAGAGAAGCAATGGTAAAACGCCGTTTTTTATACCTCTACGGGTAGGTTGATCTCAACAGGTATGTATGTTGGCCAATAACCCATTGTTAATATATTCACTGCCATATCAATGTTACTAGGAAGTAATTGGTGCTGAAGATACTAAAAAATATGAATAATATGAACATTAAGATATAACTTTCATGTAGTATATTCTAGAGGTTCAAAGGGTCTTAATTTCGAGTGGAATTATACACACCTAAATTCAAGCCAGGAACAGTTGATCGAAAAATGTCGGTCCCCCGGCAGAAATCGAACCTATACGCTTTTGCGATGCCGGTGCAATGCTAATGCCACCGAAAAAGGCATTTTTGCTTTCTCAATTTAAATGCAGAATGACCACTATTGCCAGACCTAAGATCATGCAATCAATGAGTAGCTATAGTTTGCTTGGGAATGAATGCACGCCCCCTCTGAAAAAATGCCACCCTTTCTGAAAACCAACAAAACTGCATGTTAGCTACGTAAAAAAATTTCATTGAAAGATTCGCAGTAATTCTATAAGAGCCGAACGTCCGAGAGATATCTGGCTCTCCAAATCAAAATCATTGTATACTATACTAACCTGCTTAAATTGGATTAAAACATCTTTGGACAATTCCATATCCCGGAACATTCCTTCCAGTTTGCTAGTGAAGGAAGCCCCACATTCTAAAACCAAATAGATAAAACTTTTCTCATTTTTCCATTTGAGCTACAACGTCACATCAGGGGGGGGGGGTTGGAGCTATACGTCACGGAACAACGACACGGGGGTAGGAACTATACGCGATATTAATTATTATTATTATTAATTACATGCACTCCGTGCCGTTACTACGTATAATGAAAATCACATTGTTTGCTCAGGGTAAAACCCTGATTTATAAAACTTTTTGTTTAACTCTCGCGTACTTTATATATTTTTCGAGAATATTCAGGATCGAATAAGGAGACTGAATGCGAATAGCGAGACATTTTAGTTTGCATCCCTTGAAATTTTTAAAACATGATAAATCGTGATTTTTAGTGTACTGACCACCTTAAGTTCAACTGATAATGGTTTTAAGCAAACCAATGCAACTTAACAGTACCAAGCAAACTTTGCATTGCGAAGCTGTGCTTGCATCCGTATATTGTATTGGGATCGCGGTAGCCCTAGGGAGATTTCTTTCAAGCGGCCAACATGGTCAGACCGGTCATATTTTAAATTGAAATAGAGTATTTCGTTAAGAATATAGCGGTGAATCTGCATTTTCCGGGCTAGGTAGATGTAAATAACAATATATATAACAATCATCCTGTACCGCAATACAACAGGACCGATCTGGCCGTTATTTCCGTATAAAGGAAAGCGCCCTAGTGACCTGTTAACCCTTCACCTTGTTTTAATTTAGAAAGCATAGATTTCTCCGCATCAACTGAGGCACTTTTGCCGACAAGCAGGCGCTTTGCCAAATCTTTTTTGTAGAAAGCTTCGAACACATCTTTTCCTAAAAAAGTATATATTACGCATAGCGCATAAAGCCCATTAATTTCATCTTTAAGGCAATTGTTATTAAACTTGATAAGCACATTACCTTGAATAAATCTAAAGAGTACCATTATTTTATCTAAAAGTTTCTCAAGTTCCTCTTCCGTGGACTCCTAACAATGTTTAAGTACAATGTACAAGTTAAGAACAGAAATACCAAAACTTTAAGTCCACAGAGTACAGTACATTTTGAAACAGAACGCATATTAATCTAATGCCTCTTTTTTCGACCTGGAATGTTTCTGAAGAAATTAACAAAAGCTAAAGTAATAATAGTAGGTGAAAAAGGTTTATTTTAAGGTTCATGATTTATCTTTAACAAGCAATTGTTAATGAAATTTTACAGAAGTTAATGCGTAAAAAATTATATTTACTTTTTTTTACTGAAGGCTGGTCCTATATTCTAAATCTATTCGTCACACCTCAATTAGCACTATTATTACCAGCAAGATAAAATTACTGAATTGAAATTACTGAGGGTTGATAGGGGAACAGTTACATCAATATAATTGTATTGTAGAACAGTTAATGATTATTTGCATACAAAACTAAACAGCCTTGCATGGGGGGACCAAAAAAACGAAAAAGTAAATGAAAATACTGCCAAAAGTACAAAATAACAAATAATTATAAAGTCTGGCAGGAGTGTATTTTGACACGAAACAATCATGCATGCAAGAATATTATGGCCTAAAAGATAGAGCGATGAAGAGCTTTAAAAATTTTACATTTTACAATTTTATCATGGACACTCGCACTCCCCCGGTGGTTCAGTAAATGTTATTCGCGGATTTTTTTTAAAAAGACTTTCTTAGTGCAAAATTTCGGTCATTAAAAATTCTGTTTTAGCCAATGTCATACCTGAAAAATATTTTCCAACTTTCGTACATTATATGATTTAAACATTTTTGGATTATGGGTTTTTCTGCAACGGCTTAAAACATTTTATCTAACTGCTTCAGCATTCGTGCATATAAGCTTACCTTATTGCCAACTCTGAGTTTCGTGTCAACAAACTTCGCTGAAATAGAACACTCATGTTAGCTGTAGAGAAGTATAGCTGCAACAATATACGAGCTGAGTTGCCATGCAGTTACAGAGCAAAATATAAAAATTATATAAAAGTTTATTAAATTCTATATTTGTTCCTTTTCTGATTACAGAAGATGTATCATTAATATATTAGAACCGACTACGTTGTGAAATTAATGCCAAAATCATACTGAATGTTATTTTGTAATTGCACTTCTATTCGTTCTATTTTACCAATGTTAACTGCGTGTACTGCAGTACAATTAATAATTGTTAAAAATATATAAAATAGCAGAAAGATATTTGCATACAAACCAAACAGCTCTGGAGGAACTAAGAAAGGCCAAAAAGGTAAACGAAACTACTGGCAAAAGTTCAAAATATTGAAACAATTCTGGCAAGACTTGTGTTTTGACGCTTGCATTAAAAATTTATGTCATAAAAGGACGCGATAAAGCTCAAATTTTATCATGCTATATAGTAATAAATAAAGAATCATGCAATGTTGCTCGTACAATCAGGGATTAATAGCATGCACTCGTGATGTTTGATTTTGCCAAATTAGACCCGCGCCGGCGACTATTAATTAATTACTTATTACCTACTTACTTACTCACTAAATTTACGCAAAACTAACAATTTTGGGGATATTTTGTGGAGTAAGCAATTTCTAGATCCGTTACATGTATGTAATTCTTCGATAACTGTTCCCCAAATGAAACGTGCACTATACATGGAAATGTTGGGGTGGCTAACTCATTGAAAAGATCTGGCAAGCATAATTAATGCATCACGCTATTCTAATAAAACGTCACCACGCTATTCTAATAAAACGTCATCGTGACTTCAGACAAATTGCAAATGTACAACCAAGAGTCTACATCAAAATCTATTAATATCAATATCTGCAATCACAGTTAATAGAATATAAATGTTTGGAGACTAATAAAAGTACAATACAATTCATTAACTAAGTTATTGTCCAGGTTTATGCAAAAAATGCATGGTTCCTTTCTCGTCGCGTGTCTATTGTATTTTAGCCAAACGTACCAATGGCATTCGTCTTTGACCTTGACTTGAAAAATATGTTAATTATAAGATTTCTATTGGTTTATCTGTGCAAAATACAATAGACATGTGATGAGAAAGGAACAATTTTTTGCATAAATCTACCTCAACATAGTTAATAAGTTGTATTGTAGTTTTATGTGGTCTCCAAAACCATGAATATTCTATTAACTGTGCTGCAATTTAAAAGATCCTGTCAGCACGCGGTTGTTCCGCGTGGAGATGTGTTTCCGCCGATCCGTCAATACAGAATACCATAAGCAAAATTATTTTGTTCGCTGACTAACAATTATACGCCAAAGGCGTGGTGAATATTGCCGAAACTGAAACGAACTAATTCAGTAATTTAGTGATATTCACCGACATGACGCGAATAATTGTTTTAGAATTATTACAAAGGTATACCTGTTGTACAAAATAAATATTTTCTAAACGTAAGTAAATATCTCGATTAAATCGTGCGGCAATTTAATTAAACAGATGATTTGCAGGAAATATAAGCAGAAGACAACTTTTTTACCCCTAAATAATTTTAAGCAAATATTTTCGCTTCTTTCATGCCTTTGTACAACATTTTCTTTGAAATTACTGGTTTTAACACTACTATCGCGTAATAATCTAAGATTCTTTGACAAAGTCAATGGCCATAATCGCTTTTGCATGCAATTATACTAATTCCTGGATGCATATAGATATAGTCCACGCTATTTCACCCGTTTTCAAAATTATACGCGTCGATTTCTTCGTCCTATTGTGTAGTTTTGAAAACGGGTATGATTCTTAATACTAAAATCAACACAAATTATTTTTTTAAAGTTATTGTGATTACAAACCTATTAATTCCGCTGGCTTATTCGGCCTCTTGTTTATGAAATTTTCAAAACTATCCTGCAAAACAATTGTTAAAAATTAAAATCTTAAATCACGAACGTACGCTTGTCTTAAAGGTCGACCACGAGTTCAAGACTTAAAATACCGTTACAGATGAAACATTCATGCAATGGTCAAAACAAACTTTCTAAACGTTGTTACGGTTTAGAAGATTTATAAGGATCTTGGTAGCAATGCAGGTTCTAGAACGATAATTAGGGGGGGGGGAGGTGTTCACTCATATATTCAGTTCGGCCTGACGGATTTCTTTTAAGTTCAAACAATTTATAGCATGCATTACGAACGCGCGAAGTTTAAAGATTGACCAAGCTCATTACTTTCGATATTGACTAAGTCTTATCCATTATAAAATCAAAAACGTCTAAGTTGCAATTCCCAAGGGCAAAGATTTTAGACGTTAGTTCACAAACAAAATTAATGTTTACTTTTAAAAGTAGTTTTAAAATGTTGAATATAGCTAGTTCGTGTTTCGTTTGTTTTGTCGGAAACAGAGTTTATAGATCTACTCGTCATAGCAAGTGACAACAAATATAACTAAACAAGTACAGATTATGAACTAGCGTCTAAAAATCCTTGTACTTTGGGAATTGCAACTTCAACGTAATCTATTTTAGTTGTGCAAATTGTTGGACTCAATTACGCACGTTTTGCTTTAACAAATATCTTACCTTCATTGCATTTACAAATTTCTCGTGTTTCATGAAAGCCTGAGTTATAATATTGTCCAATTTTTCTTTGAAGTCGAGTAAATCCTGGACCATCGTTCTATCTTTCTCTGGATCCACTGTAACGACAATCTCCAGGCCGCACCTCTAAACAAGCAAAAATTGAAAGATTTAGGAACTATAAAAATTCTATTACGTAAAGATGTAGGAGGACAAGATTGGGGATGACGTCATCTGTATGCTGAATCCAAGGTATCGACAATTTTTGGCTAAATACTGTTAAAAATATTTCAAAATTTTGTGAGTAGGAGTCACTGATAGTTGTCTCGGAGTATGTTAGCAAAAATATAATTTCGGAAACAACAATACATTCCGCTGGCGAAAAATGAAATAATTGGGTCTTAACAATAAGTACAGGATTTTTGCGATGGCTACACAGCTAGCTGGTTTCAAGTAGATGTTTAATGGTTAGTCACATTGGTTCTTCATAAATTAGGCTGTCAGTAAAATGTTTCATTTGACATGCTTTGTTTAGTACTTGAAAAGGTCACCTAGAAGGAAAATATACTTTTAACAATGGTGCATGGAATGAGTCCATAGCAATGTTTGGATTCTATGAGGACTCAAACATAGCTTATTTTAATGCTTGTTGCTTTTATGTGGAGAACCATTCATAATTAAATAGCTCAAAATTTTGAAATCTAGTATGTTTACTAATATTTTGGCTTAAAATATTTCTGTGGTAACTCATTTTGTAGGTCTAACTCCCGTTTAAATATTTTTTTTTAGTTGATGGTGTCTGCTCATATTAATTTTTTTTCATAATTAATTTATTAATTCATAATTAATTTTTACTTTATTACAATCATGCATAAGTGGAAAGTTTCAAAGAAGTTCGAAAGTGGTAAAAGTGTTGTAGAAGCAGATCGGTTTAGTCAATCTTAAATATTCGGTGGAAAAAATATTCCCGTGAAATCAACGAAGGAATCGCAAAAGCTTCATGTGCGAGTTTTCAGGGGGTGGCTTTCGGGTCTTTAGAGAAAAACATACCTTTATATAGTTACTGAATGCAACACACAGGTCGTCGAGGCCTTTACGTATTCTCATAAACAGTTGGTAAGTCAATGTTAAGAATTCGATTCTGTTCGCATCCATTAACTTTTCGAAGCCTAAAATCACAACAAATGGACTCAATTAAAAATGACAAAAAAGGAATTCAGCTTTTACATGGGGGCGTTTTGCTTTCTCAACCGTGTACCTGGGGTTATTCGCCGAGGCGAGGTGAATCTCGCTTTATTAGTATAAATACAAAGGTGATTATTGAAAATTCTGACCGATAGTATTTTCACTCTTTGTTCCGATTGAAACTGTATAATTTATATTCCTTTACATGATATTTTACACGGTCTGTCTATCTCCTTCGCACTCTTAGCTACATGTCTATATTATGTCTCTTTCCCTAACTGTCAATCATGTCCCATATTAATCACCCCCTTTTTTAAAAAAATAACAAAATGGACATTTGGGAATTTAAAAAAAATTTCCAGTGATATTCTTTGTTGTATCGCTGTCTCGCCCTTTTACACTTTTTAGCAATTTTGTGTTTGTTAACAATGTACGGGTGAATAGTAATTCCGCTGGTGGAATTCTCGTGGATGAGATCGATAGATCGTTTAAATAATCAATAATTACATGCAGCCGCAAAGCTGAACTACAATTGATTTTACAACAATATTTAAAAAATTTACAACAATTTTTATCACTAAGACTAACAAGGATAAAGAAGTTTCAGTTTCAAACAATTCAAAAATTTAACTACACTTTATCTACAACTTATAATTTGCCAGATAAAAATTCAATTAGACAGACTATATCTATCGGTCCAGAAAATATTTAGGAAAAAAGATATTCAACTTTGTAAACAATCCATTAAAAAATTAATGTAAACAACATGTTTCACAACTGACCCCTGTACTGTAACAGAAAACGGTGTAGCTCTTGCTGCCAGGGTCTTCTTTTAATGTGAGCGCTTCGTAGCCTTTTTCCATGCCAGAGGCTTTATAAATCACTCCGCTTCCGCATTGCCCTAGGGCCATTTCGGTGTTGATTGGATATCTTTAATTCCAAGTGCTGTCAAATAATGATTATTTTCTGTTCTGTTGAAGGTCCAGTGTCTGTCTTCGATAGCGATCAATTGCGACCAGAAGGTATTCTCCCGAAGTATCGTCCCCCTTGGTGGTGGTGCTTTGCCCACACAGAAAGCACTTCTCGATTGTTGCTTTCACCATTTTGTCTATATTCGGAAACAAAATCTTTTCTCTGATTAGTGAATTCGTTTTAGTAATGCCAAGATGGATTTTGTGTGCAATATCAATCGCAGGTTGCTGTATCACTATATACGATTCTGGTATATACGAGAACCACGAAGAACCACGCCTTTTGTTGTCACCGTAAGTTCATCTTTTATTTGTTTAAATGGCTTGACTATCTTGTATAGTACCCACTTATTGAGCTTGATCGCTACCCGGTGGTCCCATTCAGCTCCTGATTAAATAGGTCGCGCACTCAGTCCATCTAGTATAGGTCAGACCGTCTCTGTCCGTCAGCTTGGTATAATAGTAATGGGCGTTTCCGCTTCTCATCTGTAATCCCACCAGCGAGGATAAACATCTTGAAATCGTGTATCCAAATATTCCAACGTGTGCCTAGACTTTTGCCAATATCGACACCATGATTGAATTCTGCAATGGTTGTAGTGAAACCGATTGCGTATTTACAGTAATATTCTCTTGTGGCTCGGCTTGTCCTTCAGCCATCTCCTCGCCAATATAATATTCTTATGCACTCTCTGTTCCGAATGAAACTGCATATTTTATATTCCTTTAAATGATATTTTACACGGCCTGTTTTATTCCAATACGGCCTGTCTTACACGGCCTGTATTCATAACGAGGTCAAGTTTTGATGCCACTTGTGCTTTCTTAACTTTGTTTCCTGTTCGTAACACTACGTGAGTATATTATTTTAGAAATTATGAATTTGCGGTAATGGACCTTTTCGGTAATTACGTCATAACATTTTAACATCACAACCTTTTCAATTTAGAACCAACTTAAATGAAATGGATTTCAAGTTTTACTCTCACGAGCCACGTGCGGAAATGCAAAACATCTTTCTTCAACACATGCATGAAAAAGATTTTTTATTTGGACCAATAAATGTGGGAAAAGCCATGTTTTGCACCTTTGCACATAGCTGGTGAGAGTAAAACTTGAAATCCATCTCATTTAAGGTGATTCTTATCATCTATAGACCTGGAGCGAGGGGAATTCGACGAAACATTACCCCTAAGGGAAGATATATCCCGAGGGCTTCGCCCGAGGGATATATCTTCCCGAGGGGGTAATATTTCGTCGAATTCCCCGAGCGGAAGGTCTATAAATTATATATTATATCGAAACAACGTGTAGGCAGCGCAAAAGCTGGGTGAAATGGCTTCTTTTGCCTCCATTTTGAAATTGTTGACAACCTCGATTCGTGTGCGAGGCATCCACGCGTGGTACACGCAAACTCGAATACCCCGCTGCAGCGGGGTACAGTACAGTTGAGATATAATATTAAATTTAAAACGATAATGTTGTGACATAATTACCGAAAAGGTCTATTGAAAAAATATTCGTACTTATTTGCCAATTTAACATTACCTTTTTGCAATACACTTTGCGAATGCTTTCCAAGTAACTGTTTTTCCACGCACGTAATCAAGGGTTTCCTACAAAACGAATTGAATTCAAACGTTGGAATTTTAATTGAATTAAAAACACTACAATCACTAAAACAAAGCAAAGCTTCAGTGACACGGCGCCTGCAATTTTTTTCAGTTTGTTATAAGAAAAATATGTGCGCGGACTATATCATCTTTTAAGGGTGATATCATCACACAACAAATATTGCTTGGCGTAACTGCTACCGTTAACCTTTTACCAACTGCCATGTCATAACTTGCCTAGTCTGCTATGAACAGAAGACGTGCGCAGAACGGACTTTATATCATCTTACGCGGTTTTTAAACAAATATGGCCTTATAACTTGATATAACTGCTACAATTTACCATTTGCCATAATGTGAGCGTAAAGCTTTCAAGTATAGGTCGAAATATTCGATTAATCCTGTTTTGCAAACCGTAATAGAAAATGTATTCTATGTACACACAGGGTGTACCTAAAACTGATATCTTCTCAACTAATATCTTCTCAATTGATTTCCTGGAATTCTGACAACATGTAAAGTAAAGCGCGAAAGAGAGCAGAGGTGTTGCGATGTATTTTATATCATATTACGTTAAGTCCGTTCAAGTCTCATTTGACCCACTCTTCCCTCTGTTTTTTTAATCTAAATGTTCTTAGTGTACCCAAGAAAATAGTAAGCAATTTTGCGCACAAGCCATTTTTGTTTTGTCCCAGAAGACACCGTCTGGAGTTTTAAAGATCTAAGATTTGATCCCTTTATTTCACACTATACGCACCCAAACAAACTGTATCGTGCCTGGAGCTGCTTCGCTATTTGAGATGATTTCGAATGTACTCAGCTTCTTATGCGCCCTATAAAAACCAGTAACTACCCGCAGGAAATACAGTGGTAACTTGCCTCGTTGAGTGGTCTAAGTAATGAAGTAAACGATCATTTTCTTCTTGCAGTCTTCTTTGTACATGCTCAAGATACTCTGGTACCTACATCAAAAGTTTGGTGCTAATTTAGCAAACCTTTCGAATTTATCACACCTTTAGCTTACTCAATAGGACTTAACGATAGACTATTTATTCAATACAATTATAACTTGCCTCATAAACAGAGCTCATCGAGCATTTTACAACTAATACGCAGGCAAACCCTGACAGTGGAAATGGCACACAAAGAGGGTTAACCTTAAAGTATTATTTACTATTAGTGATGTCTTTCCCGCGCATCACACTACTGTTGGAAAATAGAATTCCGAGAATTTTGTATATAGAAGTATAGAACAATAACAAATTCAAAGTTATTGAACTCGCAAATCCAAGCCGTTTTTTGTTAATGCTGAAAAATAAAGATAAAAATGCGACAGGGGTCACCAAACGTATTTCCAAGTACAGTCAACTTACATCACTCTCCTGCATCAGTCTATCCCCTTCAGCTGCGTAAAGAACTTCCGTTGCTCGGATGAATTTGTTTTCGAAGGAAGAATCATACATCTATAAAAAAGGTTAATCAAGTAATAAAAAGAGCTTCCTAATCAAACACGATAAAAATAATCTGCTTGTAAGCTTGCTAGTTGCGGAGAAATATTGAGGAATAATGTTGATTCAGAGATGAACCGTTTTTGGTAACATGAATAGTCGCTGTAATATGATTGCACGATTTGTCGTTTGAAGTCGGATTTAGCGTTAGTTTTGTATTTAGCAATTTTCGTCATGAATGTTCACGTACATCAAATATTTAACACGATAGTAAGGTATATGTAGTTCATTTCCCCACATAAGACATTTTGTGTTATATGACAGAAAACAGGTTTATGGTCGAAATCTTTTTAAATATATTTTTTAGTGATTTTTATCAACGTTCGAACGAATGCAGATGAGAGTGTTTATTACTAGCTCGGTGAATATCACTGAATACTCTGAATACTCAGTGATATTCACTGAGCCTGAGGCGGTTTGAGTGCAATTACAAAAGCGATTAATTGAATAACCAATCTGTGGTAGAAAATACAACAAAATCTTAATTAAACAAATAACTCGACAATTTACGGTGATAAAATAAAACGATCTTCTATACGAAATAAATAAATTTTAGCACCACTTTATACAACGTAGATTTTCAGGTCGAAAATTTTTTTTGCTCATTTAGCTAGTTGCCATAATTACTGATTTCTTCATGTTACTTTGACCAAAACAATCGCCGTCATTTTTAAAAAATCCGTTTAGGTGATCATTGCGTAATATTCCGAGGTCGCTCGACCAATCAGAGTTCAGAATTTTATTCATGTTAAAGCAGGAACACAGTTCATTTATTCGGTTGTTAACCAATTATGCATTAGAGTATATAATTATATATGAAATCCTTAGATTTGAAATATGAGCTAAACAGTCTCTTGGAAATATAAGCAAAACAACGTAACTACCACTCAACTCTTAACTAATACCACCTTCCGGGAGGAGGTCTAATAAATTTGATTAGATACCCAATAGGCTAACTAATGGCATATTCCTGTATCTTTATTCAACAGAAATCGCACAGAAGAGAGTTAATATTTTACGTAAATCTGTACACACCTGTAAATCTGCCAGCATACGTAGCAAACTTTTTAGTAATATTCTGTCAACAGCTTCACCATTTCTACAACAAATTAATAAATGCTTAAAGAGACTGAAAAAGAATTACACTGGACAAAGCTAATGAAATTATACGAAGATCAATTAGACAATAACATGCACACCTTTTTAAATGGAAGTTCAATGAATGTTATATATTATTACCGAAGATTTTATGCACAGTAAAATGATGAAATAAAAATCGTTTATCACTGGGTAAATTAACATGCAATTTGATAGATTTTTTTCACGTGTGATAAAATGCCATACATGGCTTCTGATTGGACGTGCGATATTCTTCACATGTGAAAAATTGTCGTATGTCATTTTGGCGGCAATTTGTTAACAATTTTTTTCAAGATAGCGTCAAAATATAGGGGTGAGATTCAAAACGCAATTCTCAAATTTAAGCCATTTTCACATTCGTCACATTAAATTTCAATTTTTGTTGCTCTTTTGTTTGACACGTCTGAAACCGTGGAAATTCAGGAAGAAGAAGAATGACAGGAAGATTAGAACACCTTAATGATTAATAGATATACACAGTGATTGCATGCAATTGCATTATACATAGTGTATGAGCGTGTCAGAGAGTATGAAAATACAAGTATGAAAAAATAGGCACTCGAAGAGTGCATGTATAAGGATTTGCAATTTTGTGAGTTTTATAATGCAAGAAAGAAATGGGAAAATATTGCCCAAAATGTAGCAAACTACAGTGTATAACAAACACGACATGATGTCAACTTTTGAAGAAATTTTAGCATTTTTAAATACAAAATACTTGAATAAAACGACAAACGCACAATGAAATTGTTTCAATGCTTCCGGCTTTCCGCTATATAGCAATAACATATTCTAAAGTTCCACGAGTGAAAAATAGAACAATATATTCCTATATTTTCCCTATTAAATGGAAACACAACCTGCAACTTTATTTTATAACTTGGTGGAGCGAACTTGGCTTTTAAGGCATACATTACATACCCGGAGGTAATTAGTACCTTTGCGCTATCTGGTAAAAGATTTAAGATGTACCTTTCTCGCTCCACCAGAGACAAAAGTCCCTCAATTGTTCTTTCCACCACAATCTTATTGTCAACAATGTGAATTCGGAAAAGCTGAAGTCCTAAATCCCTGTACCAAATAAAAATGCATTCGTCACTTTAAATATTAAGGGAAGTTGCTGCATACGGGTGTGTAAAGCCTTTTGGGGAGTTAGGCAGTGACGTGTTTGTAAGATGGAAAAATCAGATTCGTGAGGCGCCAATACCACTGCGTGAAACGACACCGCAGAAATTGGTGTTTAAGACGTTTCAACCCGAAAATCTAATCGCTGGTTCACAATTGTGCATTTCTGTATCGCCCTATCAAAGAGAAACCTTTTTAATATCTTAAAAAAGTTCAATTTTTCTTCTGAATACGCATTCTGCAATCTTTTGACAGCTCATCATACACATCTGACCGCTGTGAAATGGCCATTTTGAGGCTTAAAGTATACACAAGGTTATTAATTCAGACGATTCGTTTTTACCGTGAGCAAGCTTCAAATCTTTTGTGCAAGACATATTTTCTTGAATATTTATAAATCTTTTTCCTCACCAAGTTTGAAGTCTAAGTATCGAGAATTGCGGCTAAGCCTATACCAATTTCCGCGGTGTCGCGTGAAACATGTATAACGCACTTTAGGACTGGGACAAGAGAGGGCAAAATTGAGGGCCTCTTCACAAAAATTCTCAGAATTTAATTCGAAGAGACTGTATAGTTTATAACTGTTCGATCGTTAGTACATACATTCGTGCCAACATATAGCGAAAAATTTCGACGCCGATGGCGAACATTATTATTTGGTCGAAATTTCTGAAACATATTGGCTACAAAAGAACTGTCCTGAAACAAATTTTCGCGCTCATCGTCACGGAGGCTGCACGTTTTTCAACTAGTCGTGAACAGTCGTTGTAGTAGTCGATTAGTGTACCTTTCCTTTGTAAAATATCATATGATTGTACTGGAATTCCCGGTAGTGATGTATTAATGAGTTTAATTATGATAAATTTTAGTAATTCTAAATACCCGGGAGTGATGTACTAAAATTTGTATCGGTATTTGTACATAGGTCATCATATAGAAATAATGGCATTAAACTGCACAGGAAATATATAAAAAAAAACCCGGGAAATTTTCAAATCTGTTTTAGATATTTCCCTTTAAGCTAAAGTCTCGAAATTTCTACACGAAATATAACTTTTTAATTGCATTAATTTCATATACGGCTTAACATTTGGCGTCAAGTATTTCAGCTCAAATTCAGAAAAAGTAAAAAGAACTAGCTTCAATTTTCCCTGCTAAGTTATCGTTCCAGTTTGTTTACAGTTCAATGCCTTTGCCTATCACGCCACAACAGGCATCAGGAGGATCATCAAATGGTTTGCATTATTTTTTTGAGAATTTGTCAAACGTCTGTGCTGCAATGGGTCTATACTAACTACTAAGTACTAAGCATGTACTGCATTTGTATTACTTACCATATTGATATGATAGTCGGGTTTTGCAGAACATAAGTGCGGTCCAAGAACAAAAATATGCTCCTTATCATTATCTATAGCAACGAAAACGACAGTGTAATCAATTAATGCTGCAATTCCGTCCCTCCAAAAAAATGGATTTATTTATCTTGTACAATATGTACTTTTTATCTGGGAAAAATTAAATAACACGGAGGCCAGGACGACAGGGAGGGATGTAAGTAGCTAAATAAGACTTATTTCCAAATAATTAAACAACTACTGCAATTTCATTGGTTAAGAGGAGTGCGATAAATCATTAATCGTACCCTTTCAATTGTGTTTTAGTATGTGGTAGTACGTGGTCGTATGATTTTGCCATTAACAGCACTCCTATTCGTTCTATTACTATTATTCATTTTCCGTCCTGAACCTATAATTTACGTACTGCTGAAAATAATAGAGGACGATACTTTGAATGCTGTTTAAAGACTGCTTTGATATTCTTTTACTTATCTAGGTTACTGCCCCTGCATTAAAATGAAACTGACTGATGTGTTGTAAAAACGTGAAACTTTGCTTAAAACATTCGGGGGAAAGCCAGTAATCAAAAGTTTCATTAAATTTGAAATCATACACGCGTAAAATTTCTTACCATTTGTTGACAATGATCTTCCCAGCAATGATTTAGTTTTGTCAGATAAAAATAGCTGTCCAGGGATTCAGTATCATTTAGTTAAAGAAAAGCATATATAATTATCCCTATATTGCTTGTTATGGCTATTGATTGCAGTGAGTACAAAATAGAGACATGAAAAGGGGATTTTGCCTTGGTGAACACATCTTTAGTTTAGGGATTTTTAATCACAACTCAAAGGCTCATGGAAAAAACCATGTCAAATATTAGAATAATTAACTTGCATAGTCTTATAAGAAAGCCATCTGCAAATGACTCAAGCTATTAGTAAGCAATACATGTTACTGAATAACACACACTTAATTTAAGTGGAAATTACATAAACAAATTATTTGTTTACATTTTGAACTTCTATACTTTTAAAATATGTTGTGTACCTTGTCTGAATATCTCACAACATATAGGTTTGCTATGCATTTAAATTCATGAATATCCACTTTAGCAAAATTTGTGCAAAATTTGTGCAAAATTTATATATTTCAACGATTGATAACACTCGTGTGCTATCCAACCATCATAAATAGACTAAAATAGTTCTGCATTAAGCATCATAAGTTTACAATATAGTTGGTACAGTAATGATATTGCTATTCAAAAAAATAATAGTAAAAGGATATCCAATAAACTGTGATAATCTGGATTTCACATGTTGCTCACATTCATCCTTCAGTTGATTGTAAAGAACTGAAGACATTTTATGTGAGCACATGTTTTCCACAGCCTTGTACAAATCCTCCAGACTAGATGAGATTGAGGTCTTATTCTGAATCGCACAAATAGCTTCCCTCAATTTACCCCATGTTGTGTCTTTGAAGTTGTCAGGAAGCTTAGGCTTAGCTGCAAATGTTAATAAAGACAATAATAAAGGTGTAAGTATAATTATTTGCTTATAAAAAATAGTTCTTTTACTGATCATAGACATAAAGCTATTATATACATGATCATATACATTAATTTTAACAAAGTCAAAAATTCCATAACTTAGTGGCAGGTGTCGACAAAGAGCCTTTGTGGGGACAAAGGTCCATACTAATAAAATGGTTGAGCTGACTAAAACAAGGCCAATGTGAAAAAATTCAGTTGTGATTTTACATTGTTTTTCCTGTAATATATAGTATGGTCAGGAAAAGCGCATTAATATGGTATATATGTATTATATCCAAAATAATACTCGTCCCTTCTAGACTTGAAATTTCCTAAACTACTAAAACCTCACTAACTAAAAACTAAAGTGAAATCATGTGAAATCAATACTTTTATAGGCATTGCAATATACTAAATGGACATGCCAACATGAGTGAAAATCTTTCAGAAAAACAAGGAAATTTCACAAGAGAGCATACTAAAATTAGTTAAATCACCGTGGGTGAATAGTGCACAATAAAATTACCTCTAATAAATTATGCATAATATCAATTTATTGCAGGCTCTCTTTGGTACCAGTTGATCCTTATATGTATATATACCATATATATGAATCCTAAATGCTATGTTTAGAAGGAAGTCATGAAAGGAAGACACTTTGCAAGAACTTTGCAAGACTTGAAACATGACATGTTTGGCACTACCCTACCTATTGCCCAACTTTTTCCTGGGGGAATGAACACTGATGGTTCATATTTTAATACAAACCAGACCAAATGGCAACTGACAATTAATGTGCCTGAAAGGGATTTGTGGTGTTATCTTTATGGCATTAAAGAATTCTGGAAGAATAAAAGTAGCTTGGATACAGACCTTTGAGGTTTTTTATAACGAGCTTCTTAGCTCCGGGTGTTTTGGCGTTTGCTAGAGGAGAACGGTCACTCAAATGGTTATTTGTTGGCGCAGGAAAGGTTTTGCCTGGCGAATCCGTCATCTCATTACTCTCATCCGCAATATTTTCCTCGTCAATGTCCATATTTAGTCTCTTGCTTGGCAGTAGCTCGCCTAAATCGTGTTCACTCGGCACACGACTACCGTTCTTCACATTATTTGATCGCTTGCGTTTCTTGTTGATGTTCTCTTTGCCAGTTTCATACTCGTCCACCTCCTCGCTCTTGACTTCTTTCGACCGTTCAGTTTCCCTAGAGGGCAGCATTCATTCTACCGGGCCTCTCCTCGGCTTCCAACTATCTTTCATAAAGGAAGGGAAGGAAGGATATGTTCCAAAAGCGTATTCACTATGAAAATTTATCGCCAGTGCGAATTTTTCTACAATTTGTATAAATGGAAGTGGACAATCTAATTAGCCGAGGATTCGTGAACGTTAGGAACGGGTACGAAAAACGAAATGCAATCAGCAAGCACTTGGTCAGCAACAAGCACATGTTATACTTTATATAGCACTAGCAAATACTCCACCCCCAAACGGCGGTGTTCTATCCTCTTTTTTACAAGGCGTTTTTTAAGCAATATGAGCTTCTTTTCGTTTTCAAGCAATCTCTAAGCTTCTTTACCAAAACATAACTTAAATTTAATGTGCATTAAGACTTGAAGACTGTCTTAATGCCGACGACAATGTTTTTAGATAGCGTTGACCGTGGCCTGAATTATTCTGAATATCCTGCGAAAGCCAAATTTAATAATTTGTTTTATTATTCATTGGATTAGATATTCATAAATATTCATTGTAAAAACAAGCACATGAGCATAAAAAATCGTAAATGTTCAAACAAATATATTAGTTGTCATCATTATTTAATCAGAATTTAATAATTACATTCAACTTTTTTAAGTCTTTAGTAGCGAGTAATTTTTCCACTTCCTGCCTTGAAACTGACGCGAAACGAGCACTCGTACTCGTAGCCATTGTAAATTTTATTATGTAAAAGAGAGACAAGCTCGCCTGCCTAACGGCAAAACATGAGCCGTGAAATCAAGTGAACAACAAGCGGCAAAGCACGTTAGTATAACATTTATAACTGATAAATCTAAGTAAAGCCAGAAGGGCTGTAAGAACTTAGATGCATATAATAGTTGCGAATTCTAATTATAAAAGAGTTAGGCGCCGAACCACAGGTTTTTAGATCTGCTGGTAGACTGTTCCACAGACTTGCAGATCTAACAAAGAACGAGTTTGATGAACTTCGTTGCTCTCCGCTGAACATTGTCGTTTAATGATCGATGTTTAACGGTAGAGCATACCACACGTTACTATAGCATACTCTAACTTGGGTCTGACGAGGGTGCAGTATAATCTGCAGCGAAATCAGTTATGTCCCTGCATATCCTTTTAATGAGACCCAGCGTCTTGCTAGCTTTCGCAGCAATGTTCTCAATGTGCTTTTATACCACGATAAATCGCTATAGACTGTGACACCAAGGTCGAAATATGCGTAACTTGTTCGAGTTGCTGTCCAGTAAGATTTTAACATGTTTAAGTTTTCCATTTCTTTTTGCCGAGAAGTGCATAACCTTACATTGCGTCGTGTTGAAATTCATTTTCATATGAACGCTCCATGTCACCGAAATCGTCTTGGAAAGAGAAAACACGAAACATGAAACAAATAGTTAAACAAGACGGATAGCCGTATTGGTATAGTGGAAGTGATATGACTGATATCTGAACATCGCAAAGTCCCATGCAACCGTATTCGTGCGCAAGAATGTTTTCTTCAGCGCCATTATGACTTAGCCTCCGTTTACATGCACGTACCTGATCCGCTCTTCACGACACTTTCGTTTGCCGCTTTGGAACAAAGATAAGCTGTAAATTAAATGCTTACTCATTTGATAGATGTGGTACATTTGTTCAGGTCGGGGACAATATATATTATATATCTACATTATTTAAACTGTTCCGATAGCATGCCCTGTAAACGCGGCTTCGTCTCACAAATCCACATGCACTATTCAATTTGCGTTCCGCTACAGTTATTGTGACGAACTGTTTACAACCTCCTCATATGTCGTCTGCGGCCGTTTGCATTATAATTAGGTCAATTCTAGGCCATTCGTTTATTTAAACGGCAGGGTGCATTGCAAGAATTCTTAATATTTATGTGGGTGAATAGAGTTTATCTGAAATTTCACATCTTATTCTTATTGCAATACCAGTTTGCATTTCATATCGCTTGAACTTACACAGTACTCGAAAATGAAATTGGTAGAAGTGTTCTTCTTTATTTTTGCTGTCCATATCAGTGGGATTGAAGGTGAGACTGAGCCACAGCTACAGGGGAATATATAAACATATAGATAACAATATGTAGCTATAAACTAGCACGGTTTTATTTTTCTTTTACGATTAAACCGCCTGAATATTTGATGTTATTTTCGATTCAAATATATTTTGAAATATATTTTTGACTGAGAGACTGAACATCGCGAAATACAGTAGCCAGGCTAAATGTTTGTTCAGAATTATTCAAAGTCACTGCGATACTATACTAGTGCATGCATCTTAATAAAACCAACCCACCTTTAAAAATGTATTAAACTCTCAAGTAAGTTTAAACTCTCAAATAGATTTTACTTTCCTTCCCAATATTGTCGACATTAAATATTGTGAATTTTCACGATTGTAATCTTTATATATTATAACCAATTTAAGCGATTCCATAATTGCACGATTGTGAATGAAAACGAGTTCTGATGACTGTTGAGTTTTTTTTGAAAAGTCATCTTTATTCGATAACATAGTCATGGGCAAGGACAGAATCGAGTAAACATGCCTTTGGCCTTGCGATACGGTGACCGTATGCCTGTGTTCGTGTTCGATCGGCAAAGCTCTGGTCATGTCTTTGATTAAATTATTATCCCACATATTGTATTCTCGACTGATAGTTGGTGCTTTTTAAATCGCTAAAAAATTGCGTATAATTAAGTTAAGATTGTGAATATAACTGCCAATTAAGTCTTAGACAAAATACATTTCAAATTACGATTCTCAAAAATAAGTTATAAGGCTTTGATTTGTGACAAGGCTAAACGTTTCAGTGGCGTGTAAAAACATCATTATTATTCATTATATACTCCTTATTTGCATATATATACATAATATATACATATATATATACATTTGATATCAATTTTGAGAGGAGTGAATTATTGAGGAGTGAGGACACAACGAGAGCCGGAATTAAACTTGTTGAATGAAAATTTTTCAGTTGTAGCTATAAATAATTTTCGGATAATTTGATAGTTAATAATTAGTCAGATATTTTGCTATTTTGCTGTTCAGTATATATTGTTTTTGACACGAATCCAACTCGAGCAAACCGTGTAATGTTCCGTTTATTATATGGACAAAAACGAGGAAAGAAAATCAACTCCTATTTACACTACGCACAATTTTTGGTACGGTACCTATATTTCAAACTGCCAAATATAGTTCCTAAATAGATGGTCCGAATTTCATCCGTACCGATTTCATTTGTACCAAACCAAAAATCGCGCCTAGTGTAAATGGGGCTTCAATAAACTTGGGCTGCCATTGGCATTGTTGACAAAAAAGTATCAAAAACAAAACAAAGCGGAAAAACTCGAGCTGGGATTATTTTTATGTGATATTTACCAACTTTTATTATATTTTCTCAGGAGCGCGGTATGATATTGATGACCCAGCAGGTCAGTATTCAGTTGCTGTAATATTTTACTCTTTGGTTGGGTTAGACTTAGGAATTGGGGGGGGGGGGTCTTGAGGTGGCGGGTCTTGAGGTGGTGGAGGGACAGCGTTGATTGATCCCAATTTTCTGACAGAGCATTGCTCTTTAAAAAGATCTTGTCTAAAAGTACATACGAGTGACCACGAGTGACCACGAGTGACCACGAATGACCACGAGTGACCACGGATGACCATGAGTGACCACGAGTGCCCACGAATGACCACAAGTGATTTTTTTGGATTGGCTATCTATAAAATTGGAGAACAGTTAAAACGAAAAACAGGGAAAGCTTGCTTGATTTAAGATTTGGTTTTAAGTTTGAATTTTTGTGTCATTTTTTTAACCCTAACCCTAACCCTAACCCTAACCCTAACCCAAAAAAAATCACTTGTGGTCATTCGTGGGCACTCGTGGTCACTCGTGGTCATCCGTGGTCACTCGTGGTTACTCGTGGTCACTCGTGGTCACTCGTGGTCACTCGTATGTACTTTTAGACAAGATCCTTTAAAAACGGTTAAATACCGGTATGATCAGACAGTTTCTTACCATCTCCAGCCTTTGGTAAAAAATATTTCGGCAAGAAACCTAGCACAGAAAATAGTTAATAAAGAAGCAGCAAAATATATAGGCATTGTATGGTTCCATCTCTGTTTTATCATTTTTCCTATGAAAAAAATATATCTTCGAACAAATTCGTCGGAAAAGCGACACTTACATTTTCTCATTTTAAAACTAGGAATAGTTTCCATTGTCCTTTTGGCCTTAGCAATCATTGTCTGCATTTTGTCGTTGGTAATGTTCTTCTACATTGTTTATAAATTGTGGAACGGGAACTTTCGCCATCATCGTTATTATGGAAATAGGTCAGTATGACCATACTATACATCATACTGCATGATCATTCCATAGGTCTATATGTCTTCTTTTGACCTCATCTATTACAATTGAAAATGAATGCCTGTTTCTATAGAGGGCAAACGTTAAAACTTCGATCTAATTTTTTGTAGTAACATAAGTCGTCAAAAGATTGTAGCGGTTCATGATCACGAGACAGATGGCATACAGGAAACAAGCTTAAACACAAAGCCTATTTATAGCTATCATAACGAGGTTGCAGCTGCGGAAGAGGCTAGAGAAGCAGAGATGGAGGCAGTGGTGGAGACGGATGTTGTGAAGGAAAGCTTCAAAACTGAGGAGGTAATTGTCAGTCAGGCTCCTCCGACTGAGCAAGCAGAAATGGAAACTCAAGAATTGGTGGTTGTCTTTGATGACAATGATGATGTCATCGACGTTTTGACACACGTAGCTTGAATGAATGAACTGTAACGAATTATTTTGTACTAGTTTTCTCTCTCTAACTAAAAATTGTAACCTTTTTATCAAATGTTTAATTGAAATTTTTAACACAACATTGTTGGTGTAACTCTAGACTTATAACTGCAAATAGATCATGTTTTCAAGCATACAGTTTTTTGTGACGATCCAAAAAGTTGAGACCAAAATTCTCACTTGTTCACATGTATTTATTAACTGTCACTATAAATTTCATTTAAGAAAAATACTTAAATAAACACCTAGCTTTTGTTTGTGAGATTCTTTGAATAAAATTTTTCAATTTTGACAATGTGTCAATTCTTTCGTGCTTTCCGAACCTGAATCTGCGAGACGTTCTACGTCTTGAAGGTCGAAGCTTTTAGGCCCTGTTTACACAACATTCTTTTTTATTGCCTCGGCTAAAATGTGTACCTTTTTAGACGTGCCGTGCAACGCGAGAAATAGTTGAGTACAAACTACAAAACTGTTGAATTGGTATTGTTATTTTAATTGTTTTCGCTCCTAACTAGCTAATTTACTACGTTTGTGCAACCTCCAATTGCAAAATAAATCGCCAAATAAAAGCATATTACTAAATTAATTCAGGTTATACCTTTAAATAATTTCCCCCAAATTTTGTTGTCTTTTCACACGAATGACCGGGAAAAATGAACCCCTCGCTTCTCCCGCCATGCATCTGAGAGGCGGCTTGCCTGTAAACATACTTTAGCATACAAAGTTTCTATTATACTCCTGTAATTTTGCATGGGATATCATGCACAATCGAAATAAAATCGTTAGGATTTTATACGAAGCTGTACCAATATAGCTAAAAGAAGTTGGAATATTCAAGTAATAACATTAAATTGAGTTCTTTACACTTACAAAAATGGCGTCTATTAACATCAGAAGCCATTCCATATGAATGCGGTCTGGTTTACATTGAAGAGGCCGGTAGAAATCTCTCAATACGTACATGCGTGCAATATTTTTTGTTGTATCAGAGAACATGAAATAACTTACTAGTAAACGCTTTTGCCAATATCTTGTGCATGTTACTTTAGGGAGTTTAGGTACTTTTCCAAGGACTATAGTTTTCTCCTGAAAACCGCGATCAACTTACGACAATGTAACTTTTAGGTTGGTGATTCGAATGCTGGGACGAATATATTTTCATCATGACTTTGAATAGGTATTTAAGTAAAAAATCGCCTTTAACACCAAGCGCTGATGCTCTAATCCTTTTATGCTAGTTTGATAATTTTTTATAATAATTGCATACACGTGCGCGGAACGTGCGCGGTACTATCTTTAACTATCTACCAGTACCAGGCTGCTCCATTTACTGTTCAAAGTACTCCAGGTAAATTTCAGGAGCAGTAATGGAGTGGAACAGAACCCTGTCACGTGAAAGTTCGGAACTGTTCTGATTACCCTCAGAGTTGGTAGATATGCAAATATTTGAGGCCAAATTATCATTTGTGCTATCAAGAAAACAAAGAAAACAAAAGGCAAAGACAAAGGAAACAAAGAACTAGTGTGATGTTGTTTATCGAATATGCATCTATCTACCAACCCTGATTACCCTTACTTTTATGTAGGGGCAGCTAGAACACAACACGTGACATGTATAATTTTCACATGTTTGAAAGGGACGGTAACAGATAATGTGTTTAACCGTGATGTTATGTTGGCCTTATTTTAAGACATTTTCATCATCCATAGACATATATCTATTTTCAGGAATGTGATCGCTATAGTTGTGAGTGATTCAATGTGTTAAAGTGGCTAAAAAGTGTATTTAGACATGAAAATACATGAAATCATTATAATGTCGATTATGCATGCGAACAATTTTAAAACGCATGGTTGAAAGCATATGTAATAGACTCAACACTGATCCAGAACAATATGGGCATTCCATTACACAAACTTCTCGCAAAGTGTTCTGAATTATTCAGAACAGTAAATGGAGCAGCCCTTACGCCTGCGATGTGTGCACGTACGTGGTTCTTCTGCACTATGTGCACTGTTGCATTAAATCAAGAATGTTTTTTATTCACATTATTTCTTAATAACTAAATCAACCTGTTTAAGCTTATAGTAAATGCAGTGAGTGATGCACTTTACGGTTATTAAACATACTTAAACGCTGTTGGAAAACGATAAAAAGTCGAATTTAGTATAAAGAAACCAAGCGCAATTGCAGAGAACGAATAATAATTCCACAATCACCACATAGAGCAATGTCGTACATACCAAGCCTTCGGTTTTTGGAGTCGTATCATAGTCAAGTTTGACAATGGCGCCTTAGTTGTTGGCTTCTGGCATGTCTTAAGCGGAAGGATTAAATTATGAAAGGAATGTGTTTTTCATTATGAACTTGAAAAAAGGTTTAAGTAAAATAAAACTACCTCAATTATCCCAAGACCAACTGAGCAAATAGCCCCGGGGTGACGACAATGGTTTCGCAACTTCCAAATTGATGGGTCGAATCCTACGTAAAAGAGAAGATTTAGGTAAGTTAGAATAATATAGCTGTTGATTTCAAGATCTGTTGGCCCAGTGGTGAAGATGATCGTCGTGTTATTACGTCGCGAACCATAAATATCGCGCCAAATATCGATTTTTTACCTTGTAAAAGGCGTGATTTGGAAGGTGATATATGGAAAACGTATTTAGCCCTTCCAAAATATCGAAAACTACATTACCAATCAGAGCAAACGTGACAATATTTTTATGTTAACGGAGCTTAAGAGAATTTCAACTCTGAAATTAGTTGCGAATTTTGAAACATTCTAATAAATCTACCAAATGAAATACCATTTTCCTGAAATTGTAATTTGTGACCTCTGAAATCAGACTTTACTTCATTGACCGCAAACAATCGCACTGTAACCATTAGCTTCACCTGGGCCACATATAACTAGCCTATGGATAGATAATACTCAAGGGATTCCATACCTGTGATATTTTTGCGTCAACACAAATGGTTGATATTAGTTTAAAGCTACGAATATAAGGTACTGTTATATGCGTTTTAGACAAGAACATAAATCATCATAACTGATTGAAGTCGTCAATTTATGTACAATCCTTCGAAAAAAGGTCGGGTTTATTAAAAATAAAATATTGTCGTAATTCGCGACAAGTTCTTTTGGTCTAGTGGTGAGGCAATGCATGCTCTCCCGGCTTCCAAACTGGGGGTTCGAATCCTACCGTAACTCTCTTTATTATGAATTTCTAAATGTCTTAAAATGTAAATCGATAGTTCGAATCCTGCCATAACCGTTTTTCATTATGAACTTCGTGAAGAGGATAAAGTCAATTCAAAAACCATAGCCGTTAAGCACAAAATCTTGTAATATGACATGAAAAGATTTTTATATATACATATTTGCATGCTTGCTATACATCGTCTTTATTGTGCATGAGCGAGGAAATATGCGAACAAGAAAACTTCCCGTGTTCTGCGCTTGGCTTGCTGGTCTAGTGGTATGTTTCTCGCTTAGGGTGCGAGAGGTCACGGATTCGATTCCCGTGCTAGCCCTGTTCGCCCCTCACGCTTTAAAGAGAACAGGCTTTGACAACAATTTGCTGATGGTCTATAACTAGGTTGTATTTTCTTCAGAAAAAAATGTGGTACGTGTTCTCTTTCAAACATTAGATGCAATCTCTCAACTTAATGTAAGTATCAACCTCGTACAAAAATTTTGCGCTAGGATTTTGCATCAATGCAATTATATCAACAGTGTCCACGAATGTTTTTCACGGGTGCCTCTTTAGCTCAGTGGTTAGAGCACTGGTCCTGTAAACCAGGGGTCTAGAGTTCGAATCTCTGACGAGGCTCTTCACATTTCCCACCTAAACTCAATAAGTATTTAATTTCTATAATAATTCATTGTGTTTTATTGTCTTCTATTGTTATCATCAACCAATAGCAAAGCTTGTTCATATAGGTAACTACCTAACCCTTAAACTTGGGCATGGTAAATTTTGAAACTTCTTGTGTAGGCTCATCTTATATAAATTCTAATTTGAAATAAAAAAACGTGTAATATATGATACCTTATAGAGAATAACTGAAATAAAAACTTTAGTTAACGTCCATGACCAAAACCGCCCATGGTTGAAATCCGAATTAATAGCCATTGATTGCAGTTGAATTGCTATCTCGGATATGCTGCTAAATGCTCAATCACTGATGCATGATCTGTTTCCCCCCCCTTTGAACTGCCTGATTTCTATCAATAATCAATAATCGTTTGCCATGGATTCGTCAACAAACGCTCTATTAGTAAACCTTTTAAATCGCTTTCTTTATTTTACTATTCATCTTCAAACTTGTATTCGTTCAAAAGTCTTTTGATAAGAAACTTTCTCTTATCAATAGCAGCTTCTATTGCTTCTTCTGGATCAAAATCATCGTTTTCAACAAATGCATCTTTTGTGTTCATTATTTTCTTATGTATCGGGTCTTTCTTTAGTTGTCTCATCCACAAAAGGCGCTCCATATAAATATTTTCTAATTCTTTCTGAAGGTTAGGCATGATGTTCGAGAAAGCTTTCCCTTTGGCAGAGTGCTCATCAAAACCACTGTTTACAAGGCTTTCTTGCATTTCTTCGAAAGCTCTATTACTTCTTTGCATTGCTTCTTCTATAAGCGGCATCCATGGGTCCATTTTTTCTTCAGATTCTGAGTCAGTCGTCGTCGCCGAACTTTCAGACTGCTGACTGGAAGTGGTCGAGACATCCTCTCGGAAATCTCCACCTTCGCTGTCATAGTCTGTTTGAGACATGTTTCTTTCTTGCTCTCGTAGTGGACAATACTCCCGTTCGTGTCTGCGCTGATTGTAACTGCGGCTGAAGTATCTTCCGCAAAATTGGCAGCTCATCCCCTTAGCACTAGCAGTGTGGAAATGCCTTGTTATCGAGCAGCAATGCAGTTTTATGAACAGATGAGCAACTGCTCATGAGCAGTTATGAGCATGTGCTCATAGGCCCGTTTGGGCCTTATATGGCCTTATATGGCACTATTAGGCCCGATGGCCCGATTGCTGACTGGGCGTCCCAACCCGCGAATATGGACAAATATTCCATTAAACATCTACGCGGTACTTTAATTTCGTAGTCCAGTACATGCACACAAACTAAAATGTTAACCATCCCTTATGTACTTTCTTCGTTTTCCCCGAGGTAGAGGTTCTTCGTTTACGACTAGGCTGCACATGCTTTAATTTTGCAGTGCTTAAGTAAACATTAAAGTTTCTCTCCATCTCTTCTTGGCGCTCTAATAAATCTTCCAGACACTCCTCCATATTGAATTCCTTTGGTTCTTTACTCTGTCGAGGTACACATATTCCTATCTTACTCCACTTTAACCATTTCTTGCGTTCCTCTGTGTCCATACCGTGTACTTGGTCGATGATTTGCTAACCTTGCTAAATTTGTACTACCACAGCCAAACACAGGACAGTTCCTACGCGTGCGACCCATATTTAGATGATTGCTCAACAAATTCCTAATAATAATTGGCTCATTTTTTCGTGGGTCAGGTATTTTATTAGGCCCGTTTGGACCCTATATGGCCTTATATGGCACTATTAGGCCCGATGGCCCGATTGCTGCATGACTGGGCGTCCTAACCCGGACAAGTCCGGGCTTATCAACGCAAACTCTTACTTACGGAAGACAAATTCAAACGGTCTAAATAAGAAAACAGTGTAGTGCTCGGACAATATGTTTAGAATATTTGTAAAATTGTTCTACCTAATTATTTTGTTACAAGCGTTAATCCGTGTCTTAATTTATGCTCCAAGCAACGCGTTGTCCATAACACCAATATATATCTAAAAATGTATACATTTTCGCATTCACCATACCCCCTTTTGTTCTTCCAAATTATCCCCAGCCTGGTAGATTGTGCCATAGTCTAACTTGACAACAATTTTCCCTTGCCCATAATGCTTGTAGGGGACCATTTCCTCTCGTGTTAGTATTGGTAGAGCTTGCGAAGACGTTGGGAATTTTGTCATGTTGGCTTGTTCTTCCTGCATTTCCTGTTTTACTTGCTCCCGTAGATGTTTAATGGAACATTTGTCCATATTCGCGGGTTGGGACGCCCAGTCAGCAATCGGGCCATCGGGCCTAATAGTGCCATATAAGGCCATATAGGGCCCAAACGGGCCTATGAGCACATGCTCATAACTGCTCATGAGCAGTTGCTCATCTGTTCATAAAACTGCATTGCTGCTCGATAACAAGGCATTTCCACACTGCTAGTGCTAAGGGGATGAGCTGCCAATTTTGCGGAAGATACTTCAGCCGCAGTTACAATCAGCGCAGACACGAACGGGAGTATTGTCCACTACGAGAGCAAGAAAGAAACATGTCTCAAACAGACTATGACAGCGAAGGTAGAGATTTCCGAGAGGATGTCTCGACCACTTCCAGTCAGCAGTCTGAAAGTTCGGCGACGACGACTGACTCAGAATCTGAAGAAAAAATGGACCCATGGATGCCGCTTATAGAAGAAGCAATGCAAAGAAGTAATAGAGCTTTCGAAGAAATGCAAGAAAGCCTTGTAAACAGTGGTTTTGATGAGCACTCTGCCAAAGGGAAAGCTTTCTCGAACATCATGCCTAACCTTCAGAAAGAATTAGAAAATATTTATATGGAGCGCCTTTTGTGGATGAGACAACTAAAGAAAGACCCGATACATAAGAAAATAATGAACACAAAAGATGCATTTGTTGAAAACGATGATTTTGATCCAGAAGAAGCAATAGAAGCTGCTATTGATAAGAGAAAGTTTCTTATCAAAAGACTTTTGAACGAATACAAGTTTGAAGATGAATAGTAAAATAAAGAAAGCGATTTAAAAGGTTTACTAATAGAGCGTTTGTTGACGAATCCATGGCAAACGAACAAAAAGGGATACGAAATGAGATTTTGATGTATTACAATTTATTGCTGTAATTAATCGTTAGATGAATAAATGTTAAAAACGCAAATCTATATCTGTTTTAATACAACTATTTCCGGCGTTCAACCCCCACACAGCAGTTTATCCCGTGCTGACACTTCGGTTTCGGGAGCTCTAATCTGTCACCCCATTGCCAAAAGTCACACGGATTTTTACGATCGCAGCAAACAAAGAACGGTCTCCCAAAGTTACGTTTACTTAGATCCTTCACAACTTTCATTTTGGTCGGTCTTTGGTGTGTGTCACACAGCGGATGAATCGCGCCATTCGCCCTCCACATCTTCATAGCCGTATCAAAGAGCCAACGATCTTGTTCAGGGCAAAAGGATTCACAACATTTAGGGTTGTTCTTGTTACAAACCCAAAACTTTCCTTTCTTGGTAGAGATTGCGGTCGCAGGCACTCCATGTAAGCACTCCATTGCTGTGTTTTCTCGGGCAATTTTTGTTCGATGTGTGATATTTATGTGCAAGCTACTCTTTGTTTGGAGGCGAACATGTTCAGGTTCGTCCTGTCATTAAAACCTATTACCAGTAATGTATGCATAAACGCGTTTGAACAAAGTCATCAACTGACAATGTGTGTAAACAAATGCTTGTGCGCACATCATCACGCGTGGGAGTAGCGCACACCGTAGCGCTCACTAATTACCTTTTGTAAACAATATGTTTGATACGAGAAGGATCTCCTCGCAAACCTGAACATTCCCTCCATCAATTTGGAGTGTTTTGGATGCCCGAAAGCGCAAATACTGATAAAAAAATCTAGTATGGCTGGAGACCTGTGGGAAGCATTTGGCAGCCGACGCATATCAACATTGTCCTAAAGTTGAAGTAGAAGCGTACGGGTTATGGCTGGAGAGACAAATGTAATCACAAGCAAAAAACCTGTTCCCTTCAGATTATTTAAGAAATGAACTCTTAAAATGAACGAACAGTGCTAGTAGGATTGAAAGAAACATTCTCATAATATCATGTAACAAGACGCCTGTTCTGGCGTTAACTCCGGCGCACGTGCCAGTCTTCAACATAGAGCTTCTGAACATAAACAATACAGTTCATATTCGCATTTAGATGCCTTGCGAACCTAAATGTTCGATCGCGAAATTCAGAAGCACATCGTACTTTAAAAAGTATAGAAGTTAAATCGTTCAAGAATGTAAATAAACGGTATGATACATTCGCTTTGTCTTACACTTTGCCTTTGGAATTCGCGCTTATATAGTTATATTAAATCCTGTGCAAACTACGACGAGTCAAAGCGCCCATACACGACCACATCATCTTGTTAAACGGCGAAATAGCAGCGATATTACTAAAATAGGACCAGAATCTACACGTATTAAATATACTCTTAACCCAATTCAGTCTAAACTTAATCGAAAAGCATGAAAAGAACGGTTTATTTGTTCCTCTTGGAGGAATTGCCGTATTATGCGAGCGAAATCGAATCGCGCATCGTAAAATTAGCCAAAGCTGTGCACCACAACTCTTGGGAGACAAGACTGGGACATAGATAAATCCAATCACATACACATTTTAAATACTAGAATGTTTCGCGCCATT